GTTTCTTCTTCTTCATGTTTCGCCAGCTTTGCATCAGTCTCTTGATTTCTCTTCTTTTTTGTACAATCACTAACATAATGACCATACTTATGGCAATTGAAACATTGAATGTGGCTTTTGTCTGTCTTTCGACCACCACCTCTTCCTTTACCTGCAGCACCACCTCTTTGGTTGCCTTGGTTCCAAGGTTTCTTTTGATTCGACTGGTTTCCTCCTTTGTTGCCATTCCAGCTACCTTTGACTTTTCTCTCCTTTTCCGTCTGTGCCTGCAAAGCCATATCTTTCGACTTTCCTGCAGCTCTCTCAGCCATCCTCTGTTCATGAGACTCAAGAGTCCCTTGAAGCTCTTCCTTCGTCAACACTGACAGATCTTTCGACTCTTCTATGGCAACTACCACGTGGTCGAATTTTGGAGCCAACGATCTCAAAATCTTTGAGACAACTGCTTTCGTCGTCAGCGTTTCTCCACATACTTTGATTTGATTCACCAACCTTGCAACTCTGGTGAAGAAATCTGTAATGCTTTCGTTGTCTTCCATCTGAAGCAACTCATAGGTTCTCTTGTGAGTTTGTAACATCACCTCTTTCACCTTCTCTGCGCCTCCAAACGAGTTTTCAAGAATCTCTCATGCTTCTTTTACTGAATCAACATCACTAACCTTTTCAAAGTTATCAGGATCAACACACTGATGAATTATAAAGAGTGCTTTATAATCCTTCTTCTTCAATTCTTTGTGCGTAGCCTTTTCCGCCTCCGTTGCGTTCTCCACCAGCGATGTTACTCCGTCCTTCACAAGATCCCAAAGATCTTGATAACAGAAGATCACCTTAACCTGCTTGCACCAATTCTCATAATTGTCTTTCTTGAGAATTGGCAGGGTCGCCAGAAAGTTGCCGTTTGGATAGTTCATCGCCATCACTATCTTCCTTTCTTGAATCTCTTAACCGGAGCTCTGATACCAGATGTTGGAAATTCACCTCACACCCTATGAATAATTCCCTTCAATCTTGATCTCAAGATTGATGAACAAACCCACAATATGATAATGATGGTAATAACAAGTAATTATCAAGAACAACAAAAGAGAAGAAGAATAACAAACAAGAAAGAGAAGAATGAGAGAAGAAGTATTTTGAGAGAATGTGTTGCCCACAACTGTGGGATTTCTTATTGAACTTTCACTTGCTAACTGCAACTGTGAAATCTGTTTTGTTGTGATGTAGAATACAAAGCAAGGCACCCTATTTATAGTTTTAGGTTTACACTAGCCCAAAACATAAAAGGCCCAAAATATTCTAAATCAAATCTAATCATATGATATCTAATCATATCATATCAAATTAATCATATGATATCAAATCACAATGAATTATATTTAACACACCACCTAATTCATTGTGTCTAAACTGTCTACATTCATCATGGCCCTTAGTCTTCTGAAGGCTTCGACCTGCACTCCCTTCGTCATGATATCTGCAATCTGATTCTCAGTTCTGCAGTGTTCCAACTTCATCTTTTCTTCTGTTACCCGCTCTCGGAGATAATGGAACCTCATTTCGATGTGCTTGCTTCGACCATGAGCTATTGGATTCTTCGCCAAGTTGATAGCTGACATGCTGTCTATCTTCATGGTAATTGCTCAATGATTCTTCCCTGTGATTTCTTCGACCAAGTTCACCATCCAATTTGCTTGACATGCACAAAGGGAAGCAACTATATATTCTGCTTCGCATGATGATAATGCCACCACTGGTTCCTTTCTCGAATTCCAAGCAACTGGTGCACCACCTAACATAAACACATAACCAGCTGTGGATTTTCGATCCTCAGCATCACTACACCAACTGGAGTCTGTGTATCCCACTAACTTGCATTTTTTCCTTCATCAGCTACTGGAAACAAAATACCATAGTCGAGAGTTCCATTCAGATACCTCAGTATCCTCTTCGCCGCTGCTAGGTATGATACCTTTGGCTTCTGCATGAATCTACTTATCATACCAACACTGTATGCTAAGTCAGGCCTTGTGTGACAAAGGTATCTAAGTGACCCAATAAGTCTTCTGTATTGGGTTGGGTCGACATAATCTTTATCTGAATCCTTCGACAGTTGCAATCTGGGCTCAGCTGCATTGACTGGTTCGATGGACTCCAACTCTTCAATCATTGCTTTCATCCACTTCAAATCTTTCAATGCCTCAGCTGCATTGATTGGTTCGACATCTGCATATAAAGCATAATGTACCAACTCACCCTCTTCATCGACTACATCATCTGATGTAATTACACATTCTTGCAACCTTGCAGGCATGTGTCTTGTTCGTCGAGGTCTGCTTGAACCTGCTTCATCTGCAACTGGTTCCTATCGAACTTCTATTTCGACTTCAGTGGCTGGTTCTTCACAAGAGATTCTCACTGAATCCTTCTTGGCATTCTCAGTCCAATCCCATTCTTTAAACTCATCTATGATCACGTCCCTGCTGATCACTACCTGCTTATTCACCGGGTCGAACAGCTTGTACCCTCCTGTCGAATGATATCCTATCAAGATCATCTGATTTGACTTATCATCAAGTTTCCTTCTCAACTTATCTGGCACATGTCTATGTGCTATAGATCCAAACACCTTCAAGTGACTGAGACTAGGCTTGACACCAGACCAACATTCTTCTGGTGTGATTCCTTCAAGCTTCTTCGTCGGACATCTGTTCAATATATATGTTGTTGTCGAAGCTGCTTCTCCCTATAATTCTTTAGGTAGATGCTTTCCATTCAACATACTTCTCACCATATTCATGATGGTTCTGTTCTTGCGTTCTGCAATCCCATTTTGCTATGGAGTGTAAGGTGACACCACCTCATGCACAATCCCTTCTTTTACACATAGTGTATCGAACTCTTTCGACACATACTCTCCACCACCATCAGTCCTCAGAATTTTCAGCTTTCGACCACTTTGTCTTTCGACCATGGACTTGAATCTGGAAAATACCTCAATCACATCACTTTTCTTCTTGATGAGGTAAGTCCACAGCTTTCGACTGTAATCATCTATAAACGTGACAAAGTATCTATTGCCACCAATCGAATCCACCTGGATTGGACCACATACATCAGAGTATATGACTTCAAGTATTGCCTTCGACTTCCTTCCTGCATCCTTGCTGAAGCTATTCTTATGTTGTTTCGACTGAACACACTCCTCACAGACTTCACTTGGAATGTCAATTTCTGGTAATCCTGAAACCATATTTCTTCTCTTCAGTTCTCTAATGTCATTAAAGTTGAGATGACCTAGTCGAAAATGCCATAACCACTCATCTCTGCTGGCTGCAGTTGCCAGACACTTGTGCTCCATCACATTGAGTCCAATCTTGAAGGTCCTATTCTGAGACATTGGAGCCTTCAAGATTAATCTACCACTTGCGTCGAGAACTCTCATCATCTTGTCTTCGACAACTACCTTGTAGTTCTTTTCGACAAGCTGCCCTATACTGAGAAAATTACTCTTCATGCCTGGTATGTACAACACATTGGAAATTGTTGACCTTTTGCCATCTTTCCTCATGATCAGAACATCACCAACACCTTCAGCTGCTAGAGTGTTGTCGTTTGCAAACTTCACTGTGTTCTTCGACGAGGGCTTCATGTTCACAAACCAATCTTTCCTTCCAGTCATGTGTGATGAGCATCCTGAGTCCAAGTACCACTGATCTTGGAATCTTTCTTCATCGTTTGTTGTGACCATTAACAACGTTTCTTCTTCTTCATGTTTCGCCAGCTTTGCATCAGTCTCTTGATTTCTCTTCTTTTTTGGACAATCACTAACATAATGACCATACTTCTGGCAATTGAAACATTGAATGTGGCTTTTGTCTGTCTTTCGACCACCACCTCTTCCTTTACTTGCAGCACCACCTCTTTGGTTGCCTTGGTTCCAAGGTTTCTTTTGATTCGACTGGTTTCCTCCTTTGTTGCCATTCCAGCTACCTTTGACTTTTCTCTCCTTTTCCGTCTGTGCCTGCAAAGCCATATCTTTCGACTTTCCTGCAGCTCTCTCAGCCATCCTCTGTTCATGAGACTCAAGAGTCCCTTGAAGCTCTTCCTTCGTCAACACTGACAGATCTTTCGACTCTTCTATGGCAACTACCACGTGGTCGAATTTTGGAGCCAACGATCTCAAAATCTTTGAGACAACTGCTTTCGTCGTCAGCGTTTCTCCACATACTTTGATTTGATTCACCAACCTTGCAACTCTGGTGAAGAAATCTGTAATGCTTTCGTTGTCTTCCATCTGAAGCAACTCATAGGTTCTCTTGTGAGTTTGTAACCTCACCTCTTTCACCTTCTCTGCGCCTCCAAACGACTTTTCAAGAATCTCTCATGCTTCTTTTACTGAATCAACATCACTAACCTTTTCAAAGTTATCAGGATCAACACACTGATGAATTATAAAGAGTGCTTTATAATCCTTCTTCTTCAATTCTTTGTGCGCAGCCTTTTCCGCCTCCGTTGCGTTCTCCACCAGCGATGCTACTCCGTCCTTCACAAGATCCCAAAGATCTTGATAACAAAAGATCACCTTAACCTGCTTGCACCAATTCTCATAATTGTCTTTCTTGAGAATTGGCAAGGTCGCCAGAAAGTTGCCGTTTGGATAGTTCATCTCCATCACTATCTTCCTTTCTTGAATCTCTTAACCGGAGCTCTGATACCAGATGTTGGAAATTCACCTCACACCCTATGAATATTTCCCTTCAATCTTGATCTCAAGATTGATGAACAAACCCACAATATGATAATGATGGTAATAACAAGTAATTATCAAGAACAACAAAAGAGAAGAAGAATAACAAACAAGAAAGAGAAGAATGAGAGAAAAAGTATTTTGAGAGAATGTGTTACCCACAACTGTGAGATTTCTTATTGAACTTTCACTTGCTAACTGCAACTGTGAAATTTGTTCTGTTGTGATGTAGAATACAAAGCAAGACAACGCGATGGTTCCTCTTTCACCCTCTCGGATTATGCACGGAACCACCAATGTCACCTCTGCTAAGTTCCTTACCCACGCTTTCACTCGCAATTTTCACGCCTCTAGTCCTTCCTACCGCTCCGCCGGAGCTTCTCAGGTTTCGCCAATGCTTCCTCACTCTTTCCTTAATTTTAATTTCATTATCAAAATTCAGAACGTGCTTATGTTAATAAGCACTAATATTACCAATTCAGAACGTGTTTCTGTTACAAACCACTTATTAAATTATGATTCATTGAAATTAGGGTTCAACTTGAAGTTGAGAACTTAAGATATGTTTTTAGGTTTGATTTAGTGATGTATTTTTTTTGTATTTAATTTAATCAGATAGCACAGTCGGAGTTCACAGAAATGGCTTGGGAGGGTATTCTTGGTGCTGTTGATACTGCACGAGTCAATAAAGAACAAATTGTGGAGTCTGAGCATTTAATGAAAGCACTCTTGGAGCAAAAGGATGGTTTGGCTGGAAGGATATTTACTAAGGCGGGATTAGACAACACGTCAGTTCTACAAGCTACTGAGAATTTTATAGTTCAGCAACCTAAGGTGTGTTAATGTGGTTGGTTACTGGCAACATACTTTGATTGATATTCTAGAAAGTTCTTATCCGCTGTTTTATTTGGCAGGTTACAGGTGACACTTCTGGTCCTGTTGTTGGTTCGCATCTGAGCTCCGTTTTGGACAACTCTCAAAGGCACAAGAAAGAAATGGGTGATGAGTATGTGTCTGTGGAACATCTGTTACTAGCATTTCATTCGGATAAGAGGTTTGGGCAGCAGTTATTTAAAAATCTTCAGCTTAGCGAGAAGGCTTTGAAGGATGCTGTACAGGCTATTCGTGGAAGTCAAAGAGTAACTGATCAAAGTATACATTCACATTTAATGGTTTCTTACTTTTAGAAGAAATATGGGAGGGCATGATTAGTTCAATCTTTTTAACATATAAGTAAAAGTTATTAAAATTATGAATACACTTGAAACCAAATCATAATAGAAGTATAGAAATGTATTGAGTTTGATAGGATGAAAATAAAAAGCCATGTTCGCTTATGATTCTTATAAGCTATGGTGTAAATGGGACTAATAACCCAGGTACTGAGTTAATGATTGGTTATATTTTAATATAAAGGAACCCGTTGTTTCAATCAATTTCTGTGTGACTATGGTGCATATTGATTTCCCTTGTGCTCGACCTTTACTAGCTTTCAGGTTACAAATCAAAACCTGATTTTGATGCTCAAATCATTAGCTGTACCCCTCTCTTCCTTTTAATATGTGTCTAAGCTATTACTTGAATTATGAAGTTATTCCGGGAAATTATATTGTTTGTACTGGTACCCTTTCTAGTTGCTTTTGTTTGTTTGTCAGCAGTTCTGAGCGACAATTTGTATTATTATTGTGAAATAACTCTGTACAGATCCTGAGGGGAAATATGAAGCATTGGACAAATATGGAAACGACCTGACTGAACTTGCTAGGCGTGGAAAGCTTGATCCTGTCATAGGTCGAGAAGAACAAAAAACAATCCAGTTATTATTGGGGAACCTGGTGTGGGGAAAACTGCAATTGCTGAAGGGTTTGTCTAACATTATTTTATACCAATTCTTTCAAATTTGTTATGCAACAGGACTTCTTGTTATTATTGTTCATTATGTCTGCCTTATTCTTTGTGCATATTCTTCCTATATGCGTAGTTTTGACTTTTCACATGTTTGTTAATATTGAGTTAGGGGCTATAGGTAACCTTCTCTTATATGCTTAGAATGCATTCTGTTCATGTATTTTAGATTCCCAATTTATTTGTCTCTTATTCTTTTGCCGGTAAGATCCCTCTTGAATATAGCATTTCCCAATAGAGTGACGTGTACATTGTTTTATCGGATTAGAATTGTTTGATTACCAAGGAATTTTGTTCTTTTGTGCTACATTCTAACACGTGTTTATAACATCTTTGTTCATTGGAATTAAGTCAAGTAATCAAAGTCTTGAATCATGGTTTCATCCTGAAGCATGCAATATGTCCTGAATTTTCTGATACATACTTTGTATAATTGCAATGAGCTCTGGCCATGGAATGTGTGGATTGCAAGCATATAACATGCTTTTGGAGTAGTATTTTTAATCAAACTGCTTCAAGATCCAACAAGGTTGAAAAAGTGCCACCATTTGAATATATGTGTGATTGATTTAGAGGCAGTAGCGTAAATTTTTAATGCCGAACTATATGTTACCTTTGCTGTGTGTGTTGTATCTTATCATTTAGGGTGGCAGCTGCTTAACTTTTTTCACTGTCTTTGCAGATTAGCACAACGTATAGTGCGTGGAGATGTTCCAGAGCCATTGATGAACAGAAAGGTTGAACTCCTATTTTCTCTCTTCACTTGATTATAAAATGATAATTTAAATTGAGTTACGTGTTTGACGTAATGTCAAGTCTCAATGCAGGCTGATCGTGTTCATTTTTCTGAAAATGTTTAATCTAGCTGCTTTCTGGCGGTGTCACATTTTTCTGAAATCCTAAAATTAATTTTTCTCACATTGAATGTAATTAGGTTTATTTGTAATTTAGAAGATTGAGCACAAAACCTAGATACTTTATAATTTATAAACAGTACCACTATTCCCTTCCACCCTACTACCTACACAGATAGAGAAGATCTCCTAGATATTTAAAATACTAAGCATGCATCTTATATTGATAACATACATTTAAGGTGGTGCGAAAAATATAATTTGAGAATGCTGTTGTTGCAAATTGTTGTCTCACAAGTATTTAATTTCTCTATTTGAGACTCTGGCAGTTTCCTCGATCCTCATCAAGCTTTCTGTTTGGGTTCTTAACAGATTATGAATTCATCATTGACCTTGGAAAATCTTATTGAATGGTATACATTCTTTTATTTAATATAGGATTGTGATATTGTAATAAAGGGGGTCGTTTTGCCGTAAAGCTCCTCCTAATCTTCAGCATGCAGAGTCTAAAGAAGAATTTGACCCACCACTATGGTGTCTAAAGTAGTAAGCCTTTCTAGGGATGTATTATTTTTGTTTAAATTGGTATTAAACTTTTGTTTTCACTCTTGGTGCTTTGTAGTTGATTTCCCTTTATATGGGTTCATTGCTTGCTGGTGCTAAGTTTCGTGGAGATTTCGAAGAAAGGCTGAAAGCTGTCTTAAAGGAAGTTACAGCATCAAATGGGCAAATAATTTTGTTTATTGATGAAATACACACTGTTGTTGGTGCAGGTTGGTATATTGTTTTTGTTCTCAAGCTGTACGAGTTATAATCTCAATTTTGAGATTGAGATTATTGTGCACTTTCTTGCTAAGACACAATTTAAGTATAGCCATTCATATGCATTCACCTAATGGCTTATGCTTTCAGGATAGTTGCTTCATGATGTCATGGTATTAAATCCTCTATAACTCAGTAGTCTAGAGTTTGATCCACTCATCCCCTTTTTCTAATAAAATAGTTGAGTTTTAGACTTCTAGCACAATATAGATTACTCCATCTACTTGCTAAGAACACATGTCTTCAACTACCTGCTCAAACTTTTCAGATAATTGGTTGGAGTAGTACACTAGTCATAACTACCTACCTTCGGTGCACTCCTTCCCAAGTATAATAAACGTTGATAACTGTTCTTGGGTATAGTCTTCAATTAATGAGTATGCTAATTGATCTATTCCCTCAAAGCAACAGACTGAAAAAATAATGCAGTAAACAACTGTCTGCACTCCATAATCAATATTTTAATTAGTTAATATCAAATATTCTGTTTCTAAGTTTGTACATTTGCCTTTGAGGATTGCTTGCACTTTTAACAAGATTGGTGTGACATTCTGATTGATTAAGCATCGTCCCCCTAGTTCTGTTCCAGCTCTGCAATTAACCAATAAGTAATATGGTGTTTTTGGTCATTTGGTTAACTAATAGGAGCTAAAAGTGGTGCAATGGATGCTGGAAACTTGTTGAAGCCAATGCTTGGAAGGGGGAACTTCGATGTATAGGAGCAACTACATTGAATGAGTATAGAAAATACATTGAGAAGGATCCTGCACTTGAGCGTAGATTTCAACAAGTATTTTGCTGTCAACCATTTGTTGAAGATACAATATCCATTCTCCGAGGGTTGCGCGAGCGTTATGAATTGCACCATGGAGTCAAAATATCAGACAGTGCACTTGTTTCAGCCGCAGTCCTTGCAGATGGATACATCACGGAACGCTTCCTACCAGACAAAGGTAGGTTTTGACTCTAGCATTTATATGACAAGAGTTGACTTATTATAACAGTTTATTTTTCTGTTCACTTTACTATTTTGAATTTTTTTAATCCTACTAAAATAACAAGCTTTTCATAATGAAAAGAAAAATAATTTCTCTCGTTTCTCCCCTCTTTCTTAAGCCTTCAGATTTTTGTGGTTATTATGTTTTAGAAGTTAAAAGTAGTCACCTGATGCCATCAGGTTGGAAAGTTTTCTGGTTGGTTTGTTGATTCTGATATGTAATTAAATTTCTTCCTTTAGCTATTGATCTTGTCGATGAAGCTGCTGCAAAACTGAAGATGGAGATCACCTCTAAGCCTACAGAATTGGATGAGATAGATAGAGCGGTCTTGAAACTGGAGATGGAAAAACTCACTGACCTTGATATTATTGAGATTGTAAGCAAATGGACTGGTATACCACTATCAAACCTCCAACAAACAGAGAGAGAAAAGTTACTTTTGCTGGAACAGGTTCTTCATAAGAGGGTGATTGGTCAGGATATTGCTGTAAAATCCGTGGCTGATGTTATTCGCCGTTCAAGGGCTGGATTGTCTGACCCAAACAGGCCAATTGCAAGTTTTATGTTCATGGGTCCAACCGGTGTTGGCAAAACTGAGCTTGGAAAGGCTTTGGCCAATTACTTGTTTAACACAGAAAATGCTCTTGTTAGAATCGATATGAGTGAGTACATGGAGAAACACGCTGTTTCACGTTTAGTTGGGGCTCCACCCGGTTATGTTGGTTATGAAGAAGGTGGTCAGCTAACTGAAGTGGTCCGCAGAAGACCCTACTCCGTGGTACTATTTGATGAAATAGAAAAAGCACAATCATGATGTCTTCAATATTTTGTTGCAATTGTTGGATGATGGACGGATTACTGATTCTCAAGGAAGGACTGTTAGCTTCACAAATTGTGTTGTGATTATGACTTCCAACATTGGCTCCCATTACATACTTGAAACCCTTCGCAGCACACAGGATGACAAAAGTGCAGTTTATGATCAGATGAAAAGGCAAGTTGTTGAGTTGGCTAGGCAAACATTCCGCCCAGAGTTCATGAATCGAATTGATGAGTATACAGTTTTCCAGCCTTTGGATTCCAATGAGATCAGCAAAATAGTGGAGCTTCAGGTAATTTTGTGCTCATATTACCTCTACCAACCTCATTATCTTGCTTCTTTCCTTTCTTTGGAGTCTGAAAATTTTATAGTAATTAATTTTTATAAGGACAACTTGTTATTTTATCAGAGTAGAAAATGTGGAGTGAAATAGTTGGCTTTGGTGTTTTTATTTTTATCATTTTATCTTGTAAATGAATATTTCAGATATCCTACTCTAATAGGGAAACGACACTAACAGCACCATTAGAATAATATCTATGTTTTGTCATTTTATTAAGTGTGTGTATAGAAACTACTATAGGATCTTGGTAATGGGATTGGAAAAAGAGAGGGTATCTTGTGAAACGTTTTGTTTGATTCATACTAATTGCTGAATGTGTGCTAATATATGTTTTCTTACCTGCTGCAGATGGAACGTGTGAAGTACAGACTCAAACAGAAGAAAATTGATCTTTATTACACACAATAAGCTGTTAATCTTCTTGGTGTATTGGGTTTTGATCCTAATTTTGGAGCAAGAACAGTTAAAAGAGTAATACAACAATCGGTAGAAAATGAAATTGCAATGGGAGTTTTAAGGGGAGATTTCAGAGAAGAGGACTCAATCATTGTAGATGCTGAAGAAACTTTATCAGGCGAGGAAGGCTCCTCCATAAAGAGGCTGATTATTAAGAAGCAGGATAGCCTTGTTGCTGATGCAATGGTTGCCAATGATTAGTCTCTAATTTGTTCTTATAATTAAGAATTTGGCAATCAGTGTCTGATCAATAGCTCAACACCCTTTTATTTTCTGTTTCAAAATTTTAAAAACATAAGCTTTGTGAGATTATTTGTTCAGGAGAGTTTATGAAAATAACTTATAATATTATTCTTAAATTTTTTTCAACATATTTTCAGAAATTCTTCAAGATAATAAACTTTACTTTTGTATTTTAATATAAAATACAAAGTAAAATAAAAAATAATCTATTTATTTATTATTTATATTTAATAAAATAGGCCGGTCTAATAGATTTAAAATACTTTTTTATGATATGTGGCCTGATCTATTTAATCAAATAGACTTATAAAATAACATAGTCTTTTCAATTTTAAAAAAATTTGGTCTGATTTTAGTCTACAGGCTAAGATGTAAATCCCTATTAATTAGTCTGACTAATTTCTACCCTTAATTATGATAGAACGGTGATTAGAGGTTAATCAAGATGACTAGTTGTTACATTGGTGATTAGTGATATGATGGTCAAATTAGAGATGATGACAGAATAAATTGGTGATCAAAAGTGATTGGAGGTGGTCAAAGTGGTGGTTGAAGATTGATGACGGTGATTGGTGATATTTGGTGGTTTTTGAGATAGTTGGCAACGAACATAATGATGGTTGGTGGTGGTCATAGTTAGGGGTGTCAAAACGGGTTGGGTCCATCAAGCCCGCTCGTTTAACTCACAATTTTTTTGCAGAGCGAGGTTTTTGACTCAATATCTTAAGTTGGTCCACCTCGCTAACCCACTTTTAAAACAGGCCGAGAGCGGGGCGAGACGAGTTTTTCTTACAGACTTTTTATTTTAATTTTTTTTATTTACTTGAAATTAAAACAATATTAATATGATTTGTAGTATACATACTTTAAAAAAACTCTTAATTCTTCAAACCCTAATATTCATTTTTCACATAATAGTGATGGTCGATGGTGACCGACAATAATCAAAGTGATGGTTGGTGGTAATCATAATAGTGATTGAAATAGTGATCATGGTATATGATGGTCATAATAGTAATTGAAATAATGGCCAATGACCAATGGAGTGTTGTTTTAATTTTTTTTTATCTTTAATTTAAAATAATATATTTTTTTTTATGTTATAACACACACGCACAGGCACGCACACGCACGCATGCACACACGCACAC